CAAGAATTATTTCAGACAAAAATTAAACGCCTATAGATGATCCAGTTGATATATAATAAGCATGCAAGATTCCATTAATATTCAATTAACATCCTAGAGATCCTCTAGGTATGCACAGAACACGGGCCAATGGGAGAGAGGAAGAAAAGAACTTGCCTGTGATTTCAGTTATGAAATCTCGGCGTCGTCTCTAAATTTCTGGCAACTACTGAATACCGTCAAGCCTTATACTACTCCGTCTCTAATCCACAATCAACCTCATTGGTCCTCTCCGTTTTCCTCCTTGGTAGCCGTAACTGTGCCTCTGTTCTCTCAACCCTCTCTTTACGTGAACAGAACTATGTTTATGTTTTTAAAACCCTAAACCACCGTAATGATATATTTATAGGCTTAGAACAATAAAACCCTAGTCCATGTATAAGTAGAGACAGAACCCTAATTTAAATCCTAGTTGGCCACAACGTGTATTCTAAAAGAAAATAAACCCTAACTTAAATCAGTAAACAGAAACAAATAATTAAATTAAAACAGTTAATTCAAAGAATTCATAAATTATGTCATTTAAACAATTAACTAACACAATTTAAAACATTAACAAGTTAAAGCAGTAACTCAAATAAATAAAACAAATAATACATTTAATTCAATTAAAACACCACAATCAACCAATTAAGCAAATAATTAAATTAAATAGCATTTAATCCATTAATTAAAACAACAGGCAAATACCAAATAAAAATAAACCATTAAAAATGTAATAAAATAAAGATTAAAATACCGAGACTATCCTTTTAAAATTAGGGGTATTACAGCTTCCTATTTTAGGGATTTAGCTTCCGCTTTTTACGTCAAAACTTCGAGGTTCCATATTTTGCTCATCCAGACTCCGAATCAGGCGATTCTTGAGTCTATCTTTACTGATTTTTCATTGTTTTTCCAATGGTGTGCACGAAAGCATCCATTTCTATTTTGAAAAGATTGGTTTGCCCCTAGGTCCATACTTGTCTGTTTTTAAAACGTCGCTTCCGCACTTGGTTTTTCTTTGGGTTCCGTGACCTCGTGGAGGGCCACTTTGGTGTCTTAGATATGTATTATATCTCTGGAAACCTTGGCTTTGTCTTTTGCTTTTGCATTGGGGATCCGTTTTTGAAATAACTTTCGGGTCATCAGAGGACGCACTGGCTTGAAAAACCAAGGTTGTCACACAACCAAATGCAATCTCAAGCTGTGCAAAGCAAAGACCCACGTGGTCAAATATTAGCCAAATAAAACAAATATCTGGGAACTTCATGGCAACTGCACATCAGAGGATTTGCTCCCCAGTTAATCTACATCCTCCTCCAACGTAAGAATTTTTATTCATCGTGCCAAACTTAAGAATTTCCTTTGAGTGGAAAATAGTTTTCTTTAACCTTTTTATTTTGCTTTTAAAATTCTATTATAAGGTCCTCAATGAAAAAAAAAAAAAAAAAAAGAAAAAAAGAAGAAAAATGAGAAAAATAGTTTGTCCCTTCGGATCAGTTGGACGATCAGACTTTGTCTCATTACTCAAATATAGGGTAAAATGCAAAAATAAATAAATAAAAATAAATAAAAAAAAATCCTTGAATTATTGAGGAATCTGCAATTAACCCCCTAAACTACTAAAGTTGCAGCTAACCCCCTAAGCTATACATTTTTGTAGCAACTTGCCCCTTCCTACAATCTTCTGTTCCAAACTTGCTGTCAAACGACCATGTGCTTGTCACGTGACACTCAATATTTAATTTAATGACTACAGTACCCTTATAAGCATGAAAAGACTTTATTGTCCTTTATTGTGCTCATGACACACCCAAACACGACTTCTTCTCTTCTTTTTTTTTTTTTTTTTTTTTTTTTTTTTTTAACCACAAACCCAAACACACCCTTATCCACCTTTTATTCACATAAACATACCTTTAGTTCTATCTACACACACACACACACACACATACACACACATTGATCTTCTTCACATTGGATAAAAATAAATAAAAAAATTCCTGGTTAACCACACCCTGAACGTCTCTCTCCCTCTCCCTTCTTCTTTTTGTCTCTTTCCCTTTCCCTTCTTCTTTCTGTCTCTCTCTCTATATATAACTTGTCAATTATTCAATTAAAGATTGTTCGGACAATCAAAGAATTTTAAGAAGAAGTGTTCGCTTGAGAAAAAACACGAAACAACCCTATTGTGAGTGGGGAAGTTTGACTAATCTTATCTTCCCAAATGCTAGTACCTATTCTGCAACTTTTCCACCAAACCCTGCCCTTCCTCCTTAAAATTGGCCCACCAATATACCGTTAAACTAACTTAATTCATAGGGATTTGAGAATACAATATCCCGAATCTTAAATCCACACCATAACCAAAAAATTGGAGATACCGGTCGACGCCTATAGACCAAACGTCAACCAAAAGCCCCCCAACCGGTCGACGTATAGGTACCTCACGTCGACCTAGTCCTGTATACATGGAAAAAAAAATTGTTATAAATTGTGTCTCAAATTCCTACTCTAATTAGGATTCTACTTTAGAGTGGTATTCTATTAGGTAATTTCTTATTTGGCAAGTCTTGGCCTCTAAAAAATGGTAATCCTTGTCCAATAAGCAATTATGTTTGTAACTCTATAAATAGGTACATATGTTATGGGTTGAGACTTATGAGATTGAGAGAGATGTTGTCTCGTGAGGGAGTTAATGGGTAGAGGTAGTATGTGAGTAAGTAGAGTAGGAAAATCACAAATTACATTGGTAGTGAAGAGATAGGCTCGTGGAGAGGTACATGGTGAAAAGACGTGTACGTAGTGTTGGTATTCTATTATTGTAATATCTCTATGAATCATATTGGAATATCTTCTCATCTATGGACGTAGGCCGGTTTTGGCTGAACTATGTATATCTTGTGTTTGTGTGTGATTGCTTTGATTGGCTTTTGTTGGATCTTTGTGTTTCGCTCGCCTCCGCTTCCCCCAACAAATTAGTATTAGAGCTAAAGGTGAAAGAGATTGAGGGAGAGAGACTCTAAAATTCGTACAGAAACAGAGTGAGGGGCTGAAATCTTGTAATCTCTGATTTTACACATAGTGAAATCTTTCGCCGGATCCCGACCTTGGATGTGCCAATTACATTGGTAGCGAGGAGATAGGCTCGTGGAGTGGTATATGGTGAAAAGACATGTACGCGGTGTTGGTACTCTATTGTTGTAATATCTCTATGAATCATTGTGGAATCTCTTCTCATCCATAGATGTAGGCCGGTTTTGGCTGAACCATATATATCTTGTGTTTGTGTGTGATTGCTTTGTATGGCTTTTGTTGGAACTTTGTATTTTGCGCGCTTCCGCTGCCCCAACAAATTGGTATCAGAGCCAAAGGTGAAGGAGATCCAGAAACACAAGAAGTCTCAACATGTGCTGCAACGGGCTTCAGTTGTAGGTGGAGTCAATTGGCTTGGTTACATGGCATGGAGCTCGAGTAGTCAAGGTGGAGCCTTGGAGGTTTGATTGATTGAGCAATATATAATGTGGACAATCGTAGTTTTGCAGTAGTATCGTCAAAGTTGAAGCTGAAAAAGAATTGTCATGATCAATGCCATGGAAAGCGAAGATTGGCTCGAAGGAATTTGAGCCAAGGTGAAGATTGTTGGAAATTGTGTCTTAAATTCATACTTTAATTAGGATTATATTTTAGAGTGGTATTTTATTAGGTAATTTCTTATTTGGCAAGTCTTGGCATCTAAAGAATTGTAATCCTTATCCAATATGAAATTATGTTTGTAACTCTATAAATAGGTACATATGTTGTGGGTTGAGACTTATGAAATTGAGAGAGATGCAGTTTCATGAGGGAATTGATGGGTAGAGGTAGTATGCGGGTTGGTAGAGTAAGAAAAACACCAATTACATTGGTAGCGAGTAGATTGGCTCGTGGAGTGGTACATGGAGAAAAAACATGTATGTGGTGTTGGTACTATATTATTGTAATATTTCTACGAATCATAGTGGAATCTTTTCTTATTCATGGACGTAGGCCGGTTTTGGCTGAACCATGTATACCTTGTGTTTGAGTGTGATTGCTTTGTAGGGCTTTTGTTGAATCTTTGTGTTTCTCGTGCTTCCACTTCCCCAACAAAAACCACATTCACGACCTTCACCATCAAAAGAAGGTATTCACATAATGTTGAATAACTAATGTTACACCTAAATCTAACATAAAAAATTAGAGATATCTGTCGACGCCTAAGGACCAGACGTCGATCGAAAGCCCCAATTGGTCGACGTGTAGCCACTCACGTCGACCGAGTCCTGTATACATGGAAAAAAAAAGAGGCTATGACTTTTTTTCATTATTTTGCTAAATATCTAGTATTTTGTATATTGTCTAAACTTTAATCTTGGGATGAAACTCTTTAAATTAACATATAAAAGTGTTTTTTTGGTTGCTATAATTTTTTTAAATAAAATTTAACTTTAAATATTAGATTGATATGTGACATTAGTTGTTGAGCACTATGTAAATTCCCCTTTTTTAATATGAATGTAACAACAAATAAGTCGACATTCTTTGCTTTTGTAACTACCGCATCCAACCATTGTGCAAAGCAAAGACCCACGTGATCAAATATTAGCCAAATAAAATAAATATCTGGAAACTTCATGCCAACTGCACATCAGAGGATTCGCTCCCCAGTTAATCTACAACCTCCTCCAAAGTAATAATTTTTATTCCTAGTTCCAAACTTAAGAATTTCCTTTGAGTGGAAAATAGTTTTCTTTAACCTTTTTATTTTGCTTTTAAAATTCCATTATAAGGTCATCAATGAAAAAAGAAGAAGAAAAGAACAGAAGATAAAAAGAGAGAAAAAAAGGGAGAAAAATAATTTGTCGCCTTCGGATCAGTTGGACGATCGGACTATGTCTCATTACTCAAATATATACGAATAGATTGGTATCCACTTATCCACAAGAAGGAGAAAATTACGCCTGTAGCCAAACGTGAGAATTAGGTTCACCACTGCTTGATTGAAACCTAGTAAAGAAAAAATGGCAATTAGAAAAAAAAAAAAGGCGAAAGAAGCACCTGTGGGTTTCGTGTAAGATAATCATAAGTTATTCATAACCCAGTTACCTCTGTTCTCTATTAGGGCTTTTAGGTACGGAAACCCAGTCTCTGCCTACTGCTCTGCCTAAGGTTTTTGATTTGTGTTTGTATGCTTGTGTTTCCTTTTTTTCTTACAATTTTTTTATTTTATTTTATTTTTTTCCATGCTTTTCAAGAAATAAAACCCTAATTTTATTCCTTTATGTATTGTTCCAGTCTGTGAATACCTTTTTCTTGGTTTGAAAATTTGTTTTTTGTGGAATGATTGCTTGCAGAGTTCAAACAAGATGTGTGAAAGTGTAGTTATAAAAACCCTTGGTAGCGGTAAGGTTCCATGAGAGCTTGTGTCTTTGTTGTGCCTCATATTTATCAAATTCATTCATTATAAAACTGGTTTCGTAAGTTTGCTTGCCCTTTTGTACCTCAACAGTTTTTACCGGGTTGTACTTTCTGGCTGGATGTATTGCTGCGGAGCAAGTTGGTTGCGGGTATGTTTTACTCTGTTGCTCTATGCACTAAAGTTTCTGCTTTCAAAGTTTGTTTATGTGTTTGTTATTTCTTCTGAGCTCATTTTAGCTGTATGCACTAAAGATTTTGTTTTTCTGTGTGTATGTTTCTTTGATTTACTGATTGTTGGTTGTTGTGTATAGTTGTATTCTTCTTCTTCCTTTTATGACCTTGATCGAGATCCATGTTGCCTTGAAAAATTGCTGATCTTATTTTTTTCCCCTTTTAATGATGCTGATTCATGTTGCTGTTTAAGCATCATGATGGTTGTTTTGATTGAAAATTGTTTCTCATTATTAATGTCTAAGACCGTTTGCTCTTGCGACTGGGGTCATCATATTGGTCAACGAGTTGAAATCTTTTACTCATGGTAGTTTACTTTAGATCTGTGATGCTTGTTTTTTAGTATCATCTGCATTGATGACAGGTTAATTTATTAGACAAAAAAATTAACGCTGCAATTGTCATCGTGTTTGTAACAATTATAAAAGAAAAGGCTATTGGTTTAGAGTCTGAAAAATACCAATGTGAGTAACCATCATCAATAAAACATCCCCCACTTATCCAGGAAGGCGGTTGTCAATTCTTTCTTTATTTTATTTATTTATTTTCTACTTCCAATTTTTATGCTCAACTAAAAAAAATTTCATAAATTTTTTGGAATTCATCTTACTCTTTTGGAAGTTAAAGCAAGCAAAGCGACATGGAGGTTGGGAAGTATATTAAGAAAAATGGGCAGCTTGACTTGAGATCTAAAATGCTATTTGAAAATATTCACAGTTTAATTTTTATGTGGAGTTGAAGCATATTTTGTTCTTATGTCGAGGGTGGGTAGGAATGAAGATATGGGCTCAAGTAGTCTATATATTGCTTAGACTTGTCTATTAAGCTAAATTAGTGCCCTTACGGATTACATGGTAGATTTTCATGACTTTTTTTTTTTCCCCCCTTTTTCTTTCTTTCTAGTGTTTGTTTCACTTTGGTGCTTTAATTTTAACTCACATTGTGATTTAAAATTGTTGTGTACTATTATTACGCTAATTTATAACAGGCCGATATATTAGTGCCTGCACAACTGCAACAAGTAGCAATGATTTTTGCTCCGTTCAAGATCACAACTTATCTTGGTCTCGCCCTCAACCAGGCAAGTTACTTGGCCGTGACTTGGTCAAGATAATGGTGATTTGTGATGTTTTTTAACCCCATCTTTAGCTTCTATATACTTGGCCGTGACTTGGTCAAGACTAAAAAATTAACGTTGCAATTGTCATCATGTTTGTAACAATTTTAAAAGAAAAGGATATTGGTTTAGTGTCTGAAAAATACCAATGTGAGTAACCATCATCAATAAAACATCCCCCACTTATCCAGGAAGGCGGTTGTCAATTTTATTATTTATTTTCTACTTCCAATTTTTATACTCAACTAAAAAAAAAAATTCATGAAATTTTTGGAATTCATCTTACTCTTTTGGAAGTTAAGGCAAGCAAAACGACATGGAGGTTGGGAAGTATACTAAGAAAAATGGGCAGCTTGACTTGAGATCTAAAATGCTATTTGAAAATATTCACTGTTTAATTTTTGTGTGGAGTTGAAGCATATTTTGTTCTTATGTCGAGGGTGGGTGTCAAAGGAATGAAGATATGGGCTCAAGTAGTCTATATATTGCTTAGACTTGTCTATTAAGCTAAATTAGTGCCCTTACGGATTACATGGCTTTGCCATATGGTAGATTTTCATGACTATTTTTTTTTTTTTTTTTTGTATATATATATATTTTTTTCACTTTGGTGCTTTAATTTTAACTCACATTGTGATTTAAAATTATTGTGTACTATTATTATGCTAATTTATTACAGGCCGGTATATTAGTGCCTGCACAACTGCAATAGCCAAGTTTTAAAACTTGACTGGTTGAGGGCGAGACCAAGATAAGTTGTGATCTTGAACGGAGCAAAAATCATTGCTACTTGGCCGTCACTTGGTCGAGACAGAGGTGATTTGTGGATGTTTTTAAACCCCATCTTTAGCTTCTATATCTCCTTTTTTTTTCCATTTCCTTAGACAAAAGTAGAGAGAAAATGAGGCCCCCACCTCGAAGACCTCTCAAATGGAAATTTAACCACATTGAAATCACCACCCACATACCAAGGGGCATTCCACCTTTGTTGAACATACGCCAATTCCTCCCATGGCAATCACCTCTCCGCATCCTCTACCTAGCCATAGAACCCCACGAAACCCATTGAGAGCCATCCTCCTCAAGTGGGAGCAAAAGAGAGAGAGGGAGAGAGAATCTTCCTTTTCACATGTCAACCTTTGGTACTCAACTCCTATGCCGCCTACTTAACAAACTCACCTTCCAAAGAGATATCGTTTTGTATGCATATGTGATACTACGATTTATGGTATGACTTACCATAATAGCAGAGATTTGACTATGCTATAGAATATGCCATCGAATATGCTTTAGAATAAGTTGTGATTTGATTTAGTTTCCTTTCTTGTAATATGAGGATGTGCTCATTTGGACTTTTTCTCGATTTTTGCGTGTCATCCTTGCGCAGGGGCCATGCTAATCTTCTTTGTATGGTTCCAATTTTATCGCCAATTTCGATTTTTTGTTCATTTTACCATTTAATAACTCATAATCAACCTTTCGTAACTAACTATTTGCAACGTGACAATTTAAAACTTATATCTATCTCCACTACCAATTGTCTAGGGTTCATTTATGCATCTCATGTTCTCTTAAATAATGGGAATTCCATAAAGGAGGTCATAGGGCTGAATCTTGAAGGCAAGGGGATTCCACCAACAAGCTTGGGTCAAAGGAAGAGGCAAGGATTAAAGAACTACCATAGTAGAAGAGTTGTGTAGAGATTTTCTCAAATCTCTTTGCAAGAATCCATATGTCTCTATATGTATCTAAGTAAGAGCATCATCTATTTTCATTTAATTGAAAATTGTACACATGAACAAGGTCTAGGTTTAAATTCATGGTTCCCTTTTTTGAAAATCCCCATTTCCCAACAACTATCCCGTTCGAAGAGCACACCAGTTTAGATTCTTGCAAGCATGCCAATTGGGCATCTCACTTACGAAGGAATGTCTTCACCAATAATTTCTCCCCTCCTTAAGTTGGATTTTTATTTTTATATTTATTTTTTTCTCACTTTTAAGTCTTATATATATATATATATATATATATATATATATATATTTCTCTCTTTTAAGTTCTTACCACTTTCCACTCGATCTCAATAGAATGGAACAATTCATCGGCCTTCTCTTCCTTCCAGGTATGCCCCAAAGCTTGACTCATCTCTCCAATATTTTCCTTAACCAATCTTCAGTTTAATATTCTATAATCGGTCTTGGTATTTGAGTTTCCTCTCTGAACAGCCTCATAATTGCCAATGGAGTGTGCAGACCCACCAAATCACTTTCCTTCATTTATGACACTATCGCAGAAAGAGACTTGCATTCCAATCCATATCGCAACTTTTCTATGCAAAGTATGGATTGAGAATCTCTCATCCTCGACTTTGCCAACTTCATCATCTTTATAAAATCCTTAGATCCTGAACAACTGACTTCATTGATTGGGTTATTTGAATTTCCCAACACAATGTGGCTCTTTAATTCCACTAGCAAGGCCTCAATTGATTTCCTTCCAAGCTGCAAATGAATCCCTTGGCTGACGCGTTGGGTCACTCTTCTTTCTTATCCGTTTGGTCTCAGATCAGTATTTTGTACTTCGCCTACCATGGCTTTTGGCACACCTCTCTCCGATGTGTGATTGCACTGTTCTACTGCCCTTTTTTGGCAATTTCTAAGTTGCAGCCTCATGTCTCTATCGTCACTTTCGGTCACAGAGTGAAGAAAGAGAATTGGGTTTGAAACTTGTTTAGCTACCATTTGGTTTGGGTTTAGTGGGGAGTGCAGCAGGTCAATACTTTTTTTGGCCCACGTCCATCATCTAGATCTGTTTGTTGCACGTTGGGCTTGATCCATTTTAGCTAGCTCATGAACCACGACCTTATTCGCTCTTCCCACTACCTGAATCTTTGAATTTGGGCCTCTATTAGAGAGCCTCTCTCTCCTTTGTTGTTTGAACTTGCGAAGTGGCCCCTATTTTTTGAGATATAGTCCCAATATTGGCCTGCCTATTTTCTTCACCTCTTATAATCAATTGGCCAATCATTCCCACCATATAGAAGTGAGGTCCATCTACTTTACTTGGTTTTTAGCCAACATCCTTTTTGGAATCTCCTTATCTCTGGCATGTGACCCTCCTCTTATGCCCTTCAACCCCTCTTGACATGTAGGAACATTATAACATAGCTATACCCCTACCCACTAAACCGTTCGAGAGTATCTTGCCACTTGTTCCCCTTTCCTTTTCCTCCCGTCCAAGAGCCTCAGACTTGTTTGAGATACTTTGTCTCCGCCCACCCACCCACCCCTTCCTCTGCAACACATTTTTTCTTCCCCTCTCCATGTGCCCCCCACCCCCACCTTTCCTTGATTTTTCATTCTCCAGAATAAGAAGCTTCTATTCTCTACTGGTGAGTGAAGCTTGGTTGGTAACAACTCTGGTGACCTCTCCCTTGTCAAAGCTATCCGGTTGAATAGGCCCCTCTTCTTCAACTCACATGCTCTCCGTTATCACACCACCATCCCTCTTATATCACCAACTTCTTCTCATCGAGACCAGTCCTCCTTTCTTTTCTCGTCCTCTAGGTTCCAGAACATCTCACTTTGATAGCCCACACATCCAATTCCAGAATGGCATCCCTCCATTCTCTCCTTCCCTTCTGACGAAACTGTACCAGCCTGGCATCGTGACCACCATCGGAATAACTGCAAAGAGTCAAAACAGTGGTGGAACCCCCACTCCTCCAGCCACCTTCCAAGCCCTCAACTCATTTTGCAATGATTTCCGGGCTCCCCACCACCCTTTCAAAGTTCCCAATTAGGATGCTTTGGAGAAACTACTTTCGCTTCGTCACTCCTTTACATCCGCTCTGAAGCTTGTTCCTCTCAATGCTGTCAATTTCATGGTCAGACTGTCGGAAGTTGCCGGGGTCTTGCTGCTTCCAGATACTATCTGGTTACCTTCCCTCCTTGGTTCACAAGTCTCGTCATTCCGTCATAAAAGTTACATCCCTGCCGATAAAATATGCTACTACCTAATATTAAAGTATTGTTGTGTTACTTCTCAGGCTCTCTATTTGTTATTATGTTCTTAAACTTCTTTGTTAGCTAAGAGTCTATGACACGCCATCAGCCCCTGAATACTTCCAAACCTTAATAGGGATGCCATCTAGTCCTAAAGCCTTTCATAATCTCCTCTACCCTTTTAATCTTGCCCTCCTTAACCCTTCAAAAGTATGTTATCCCTGAGATTAATACGCCCTCTGTCCCATATTAGTAGGCCATCTTTCTATTTTTGGCTGTCCCATAATAGTTGCCCCATTTCAAAAACCAATGCACTAATTTTTTTATAACATTCTTAATTTACCCCTAAAAGATAAACACATTAATGTCTCAAAATGATGGACCCCATCAAAGAATAACATTTAAAAGGGATAAATTTGGAAATATATCCTCTGCCAATGTAATAAAAGCTAGTGTCTTAAAATGTGTGAATTTTGAAAGTGGACATCTATAATGGGACTGAGGTAGTATATTCTTTTAAACCTAGACTTTTGAGATGACTTTCATTCAATAATTTATCAAGGAAAATTTTCATATTTCTTTAATTTCATCATCTTTTCTTGAAACTTTTAATTTTTTACCTTAGCTAAAATCAATCTCAAGTTCTCCTTTCCCTTAGTTTAGCAAGTTTACATATGCTACTTTGTGGGTATACTAATTACCGACGTTTAAGTCATTAGTGTGTGATTTTTGGGAAAATGCATATTAAAATAAAAAATTCAATTTGCATTTGTGGTTGTAAATTTTGTGAAAAGTAAAAATAATTACAATGATACAACTGATAGCGTCTTGAGATTTAAATTATCGGCCATTACTCATATAAAGAGGTGGTCTATTGAATTTCGGAGTTGAAAGTTGCTTTCGGTCTTGATAATGTTTTTTACTGTTGAAAAAAATTAACTGTTGTGACGGCCTACTCATTATATAATCCTGTTCCATCCCTTAACCACGTCTGGTGGCAAATATATATATATATATATTTTATTTTTTCGCTCAGTTCTTTGAACACCAATCCTTGAACTCTAGACCTAGAGGTTGACCACACAAACCAACTTCTATGCCAAAGAGTCCACTAGACGATCGGTCTGGTGACAATTTTTTATAGAGGAGTGCTAGGAGCAATCGCTTATGCGACTATCAATTCGCATTCGTCTCCTCATTGGCTACTCCTAAAGTTATTAATTAATTAATTCCTATTCTCATGCAGCATTAAAAATATAGTAAATTTAGGACAAAAATACCCAATTCTTTGTTTTCTTTATGCGTGTGTGTATGTATGTGTGTGTGTGTATAAATTAATCTTATCAAACATTACTTATCTCTAAACGCTGATTATCTTAGATCTTCACAATTTTACTTCAACTAAAACTCAATTTCATAATTTTACTTCAATTAAAATTTATAATTATAAAAACTCGCATTATGAAAAATATATATATATAAAGAATACATTCACAATGCATATGATTTGCGTGAAAAAAGAGGAAAAAATCCATTATGTTAGTTGTTATATAGGTACACTTACACAAATGTATGTGGATTGAGAGATGCTAGATAAGAAAGGCAATGCTTAAAAGGGTAGTTTTACCTCTAAATGGTTATGTTTTTAATGTTCAATAAAAATAGGAAACAACTAATTAATAAATTAAAAAGTGACTAATGAGAAGAGCGAGTGTGAATGGACAGTCGCATAGGCGACTGCCCCTACCACTATTCTTTTTATTATATGGAGCATAATCATAATCTTGTTAAATGAAGTTCTTAATTTTATTAAGGGTGAATTACCCTGACCTCCCCTGAGGTTTGGTCTTATTACCTGTTGATGAAACTTTTTTAAAAATTACCCGGACACTCCCTATCAGAGTTGGATTTCTTAACACCGTCAAAGTTCATTATAAAAAGTACAAAAATACCCTCACCCTCATTTTTAATAATTTATATTTTAATTACCTCTTATGTAAGTAAAAAATTATTAAAAATTAAATACAAAATCAATAAACATGTGCTAAATTATAGTGATTACTTCCATCCCTTCACCAAATTGTTGCCCCAGACACAAGAAACCCTCCAATCCCATCACCCAAGACCATCGATCCACCCTCCGATCCCTCACCAGACCATAATAGATCCACCCTCCAATTCCTCCCCTTACTCAACTGTGCCATACCACTCCTCGCCAAACGCAGAAACTCCCAAACTCAACCAAATTGGTTCATAAATTTTGGTGTTACTGAGACACAAAGTGGTGGAATCGAACCCCTCCAAGACCATCAAGGTCCCTCTTGGCTTTGACTGTCTTAACTCTGCTAATCTTGGAAAATTGGATGAAAAATCTGATGAAGGTATATGCGATGAAACTCAAAGCCCTTCAACTGATTAGAAAAAAGATTTGACATCCTATGGTTCGTCGTCTTACTGACCTCTTCTATTTAAAGGCATGGGTACTTTTTGAAGTTTGCCTGCAAGGATGATGATGATGAAGAACGAGTACAATCGTGATTTCACTGTTCAGAAATTTTGTTTAACAACCAATCTATTTTTGTTTTTAATATTGTTTGTTTTAGTTAAAATACGTTTAGGAAAAAGCACACTTATGACTGGTGCATAAATTTTATTTATGTTATTACTTTCGTTGAAAAATTCTTAGTGAACCACCTTTGGGTCCATTTAATGCCTTGATGTTCAAATATTTCAGTACATCTACAAGTACAGGCTTGGGACATTTGGTATTCTGATGAGATGTTTATGCATTTTGGATTTGCATGCAAATTTTTTTCCTATATTATTGAGACTTTCTGTTATTAGGTACACTATTAATTTCTATATTGATGACATATCTAAGCATTGATTTTGAACAATATAATATTTTGTAGAATGTGTCTTATGTCCTTCAATTGTTTTCATAACAGGGCGTCTCGACTACTGCATAGGATCAAAAAGAGGTTTGTGTTGTTTTGAAACTTGAGTTACACTTATCTTTGTTTTTCCTTTTATTTTGATCCTTGATGATACAAATATATAATTTAAGCCTTGTACACTACTTTTTTGCATGATAGTTTGACATTTGTTCATCATTTTAATGTTTTGACACTATCACACGTATTCCTACTCAACTATTTTGTTTCATGTGTTCCCCCTTGCATGAAATCAACACAATGACCCACATGTCACTACCCAATTAGCTTGGTGGCATTCTCTAGAAGTATTATTTTTTTTATAAATAAGCAATTCATTAAAAGCGTTCAAAAGGGGAACGCGTCCCTGCAAGACCACAAAAACTTGGGTACCCTAAGGCCCCAAGGAAGATAGACACTCAATAGTCTCCGCAGCAGAGGAACACAGTCTACCCGAACCCCCCAAAAATAAAGAGTTACTAACAGAAGATTTGAGAACAATAACCGAAGATTCCTCTCATTCAAAGGATCTTCTATTCCGCTCCCTCTACAGACACCACCAAAGACACAGGGCTCCATCCTCCAAAACCCTCGAGCCTGTGCTCCCACCCATCCCCCTCTCAGTTGTCCATTAGACCTCTCGTAGATTTAGGCATGACCTAGTGAACTCCAAATAATCCTAACAAGAGATTCCAACATTCGATCGCTACTGGACAATGCAAAAGAAGATGGTTAACTGATTCGCCATTACACTTACACATGCAACACCAATTAACCATGATATGCTTTCTCCTTCCAAATTATCCACCATCGATATTTTTCCCCACACGACTGTCTAAGCAAAGAAAGCCACTTTCAACGGCGCCTTGGTTCGCCACACTGCCTTCCAAGGGAATACCACCTCAGCTGGGTCCAAAAGACATCCGAAGAAAGATCTTACACTAAACATCCCCCTAGACGAAGGAATCGAAACAAGAGAATCCCGACCTTCACCACGGATCACTTGGCTTTACAACCACTAAGGGTTAGTTTGGTGCAATGGAAAAGGGAGGAAAGGAAAGGGAAGGTGATGGAGGGTGATTAAAAACTTGTGTTTGGCATAAATGGTTGGAAGGAAAGGAAAGGAAAGGGATGGTTTTGGAAGGTTAGCATAAGGCTCAAATAGTAACTTCCTTATCCTCCCAAAAATGGGAGGAAATGGAAGGAAAGGGAAGGAGAGCTTGCTGTATTTTTTGTGATGCCAAATTTACCCTCAAGATTACACTTGATTTTACACAAAATCAAGATTACAAGTTTGCAAAACAAGAATTACAGACCCATACATACAAGTTAGCAATTGCAGAGAGAGCGAGAGATAGCGGGCCAGCGGCTGAAGCTTGCGAACGGCGAACCCGAACTGGAACAACGGCGATGGAAACTGAAAGATATGGGTTTTGATTTTTTGAACAATATGGAATGATATGCCGATATGGGTTTTGAACTTTTGATTCTTGCAGACAGCTAGATAAACTAAAATATATGGGTTTTGAACTTTTGATTCTTGTAGTTTGCAGTTGCAGAGAGAGAGAGAGAGAGAAGGGGGGGGGGGGGGGGGAAGTTCGGAGTTGAGAACGAGAATAGAGATGGAGGCGGAGGCTAAAATGATTTGCCCTAAAAATAGTCTTCTTTGTTTTCTGGTGGTCCATTATCGTGGGCCTATAGATTTGCCCTAATGATTTAACATGAATCTATAAATTTATATTTTAAAATATGAAAGGGTATAATAGTAAATTTATTAAAATAGTTTCCTTTCCTTTCTTTTCCCAAGCATGATTATTATCTTTTCCTTTCTTTTCCTTCATTAATCAACCAAACACCATAGGGGGTTAAAATTATTCTTCCTTTCCCTTCCCTTTCCCTTATAACTAATATTATCCTTTCTTTTCTTTATCACCGTACCAAACATAGCCTAAAAAACTAAAGACATCATCCACCTCCCAATCTTGAAAAGATCGCTGAAAAAGCACGTCCCAAACCAGTCTCCCGCTATCAAGGCAATAGCAGTTAGCAACCGAGACCTGCCTATTAGCCGCAATCCTAAAAAGTTTGGGGAAAGAACATGCTAAAGTGCGATCACCACACCATAAATCCTCCCAAAAACCGAATCTCCATACCATCGTGAACTTTGGATCTGATATGCTTAGAAAACTGATTCCGTCCCTTCCAAATGGCTTTCCAAACACCAACACCTCTGGGAATAGACACCACAGCCGAACACCCCCTCTCTCCCTAAAGCAACACAAGATAACCCTCCTCCACAACCTATCCCGCTAAATAACAAACTCCACAACCACTTACCTAAAACGGCCCTGTTAAAAGGCAACAGTCTCCTAATCCCAATACCTCCGAGCTTAACAGGTTTACACACCTGTTCCCAACGAACCAGATGATACTTAAACTCATCCCCCAAACCTCCCCATAAGAAGTTCCTCTGAAGTCTTTCAATGGAAGCAGCAACCGAGGACGGAATCTGGAAAGGGGATAAAAAATAAGTAGGAATGCTCGACAAAGTGCTTTTCAACAAGGTAACCCTCCCACCTTTGATAAATATTGCTTCTTCCACCCCACAAGCCTCCTCTCTACCCTCTCCACCACCGGATCCTAGGCACCTACAATCCTCGAAGAAACCCCCAGAGGCAAACCTAGGTAAGAAATCGGAAAAGAACTGACTCCACAACCAAGGATAGAAGCTAACTCCTCAATATTCTGAACCTCTCCCACTGGAATCAAAGCGTTGTTCCCCACATTCACTTTCAAGCCCGAAACTTCCTGAAAACAGATCAACACCGATCTCAAATATCTCATCTACGACACCTCAGCCTCGCAAAAAACCAAGGTATCATCCACAAATAAAATAAAAGATGGGAAATCTCCAATTGATGCATATCATCCCTTCCCACCCTAAAACCCCCTGATAAAGCCCACCTCCACAGCCTTCCCCATCAATCTACTAAGCCCCTCCATAACAATGAATAAAAGTGGGGACAAAGGGTCTCCCTGACGCAAACCTCGAGAACTACCAAAAAACCCAATCGGAGCCCCATTCACCAAAACCAACTCAATGCATTCCCTCTATTTCTCCCCAAAACCCATCCTTACCATCATACATAGCAAGAAGCTCCGATTAACACGATCATAAGCTTTCTCCACATCCAACTTACACAACACCCCTGGAACCCACTCCTCAACCTGTCATCCACACACTCCCTGGCAATAAGGGCAAAATCCAAAATCTGGAGCCCACCTATAAAAGCATTATGAGATTCCGAAATAACCTCATCCAATACCACCCTCAACCTCAAGGAAATAACTTTTACTATTAGTTTATAAATGCATCCCAACAAACTAATAGGTCTAAAGTCCTTCACATCTGCGGGTCCACCTTTCTTCGGAATGAGGGTAATAAACGATGCATTCAGGGATTTCTCAAAGCGCTTGAGTATGAACAGCATGAAAAACACCCATCATAATATCTCAACGCCATCCGGTCCCGGAGCTTTGTCCCCATTACAATATCTCAACGCCTTCAGCACTTCCTCCTCAGAGAACGGAATCTCCAGACCCTCCTTATTTGCCTCAGAGATCCTATCAAAATTAAGACGATCCAGCCGGGGTCTTGTAGAAGCCGGCTCCGTAAACAGTCTCTGGTAGAATTTGGCAATCACCCTACAAACATCGTCCTCCCTACTCATGACCACCCTATCAACAGTAAGTCTCCCTATGTGATTGCCCCTCCTATGTGCATTAGACAACCGATGTAAGAACTCAGTGTTCCTGTCCCTGTCCCCCTCCTTAAGCCATAATGCTTCCGGTCCCGGAGCTTTGTTCCCATTACAATGTCTTAACGCCTTCAGCACTTCCTCCTCAGAGAATGGAATCTCCAACCCTCCTATTTGCCTCAGAGATCCTATCAAGATTAAGATGATCTAGCCGGGGTCTCATACAAACCGGCTCCATAAACAGTCTCTGGTAGAATCTGGCAATCCCCTTACAAACATCGTCCTCCCTACTCATGACCATCCCATCAACAATAAGTCTCCCTATGTGATTGCCCCTCCTATGTGCATTAGCCAACCGATGGAAGAACTTAGTGTTCCTGTCCCCCTCCTTAAGCCATAATGCTCTGGATTTCTGTCTCCACGGTATCTCCTCCGACACAGCAAGCCAGCCTTGCATGCCGCTCTCCTACTTCTCTGCTCATCATCAATGCCAATCATGCCTTCTCGGCAATCAATCTCTACAATCTCCGCCAAAGCCCTACTCTTACTCCACTCAAGATTCCCGAAAACCTCCTTATTCCATCTTTTCATCTCCTTCAACACCCCAAGCTTTCGAGCAAGAATAAAACCATACGTTTTTGAAACGAAAAGGAGTAATTCTCGACACCAAGGGAATAGGATCCGGTGTCGGTCTAGCCAAGGCTACCTGAGTCACATCCGGAAACTTCTCCTCCCAATCTTCTGAAATGAGAAATCTATCCAGACGTGAAAGGGTAGGAGAGTTTCTGCCATTAACCCATGTGAAAGTAGCTCCCTCCAAAGGCAAATCATGAAAATGATGGCCATCAATGAATTCTGAAAACTGTACCATAGCCGAAGTCCATCTTCATCCTCTCGATCTCTCCAAAGGGGATCTAACCACATTAAAATCACCCCCCACACGCCATGGAAGACACCACTGTTCCTTTAACTCCTCCCATAGAAGATGCCTCTCCCCATCATGCACTGGACCATAAACACCCGAGAAAACCCAACGTCACCCATCCTCTTCCATAGTAAATTTGCAGGAAATGGAAATACTCTGTCTCCATACATTCGCTTTTGACAACCATCTTTTATCCCACATCACCAAAATGGCCCCAGAAGTCCTAACGGCATTCAACACCTCCCGTTCAATAAATCTCCCACCCCACAAACTCCTAACCACCCTATCGGATATGGACGCCATCTTCGTCTCCTGTAAACATACCACATGAACACCCCACTTCCTCAATGCCAATCTGACCACCT